CAACTGGTAGTGCCACAAGCAAAGCTGAAGCTACTAGTACAGTTGTTCAGACCACAGTATCTGAAGTAACTACAACTTCTGGTGTGACCACTGATGCTAAGACCACTGTTGCAGAGCCAACTACTGTTGAAATCACTTCAGCAGCCCAAACAACTACTGCTGAGATATTCACTACTGCAGGAGTGACTACAGAGTCTGTGTCCACCACTGCTGCAGACACAACCACAGCTGAAGCTACAAGTACAGTTGTTCATACCACAGTATCTGAAGTAACTACAACTCCTGGTTTGACCGCTGTTGCTGAGACCACTGCTGCAGAGCCAACTACTGTTAAAATCACTTCAGCAGCCCAAACAACTACTGCTGGGATAATCACTACTGCAGGAGTGACTTCAAGTTCTGTGGCCATTCCTGTTGCAGAGACCACAACTGCATATGTGACGTCAGCTGTGGAAAGCACAACTGTTAGTGCCACAAGCAAAGCTGAAGCTACCAGTACAGTTGTTCAGACCACAGTATCTGAAGTAACTACAACTTCTGGTGTGACCACTGATGCTGAGACCACTGCTGCAGAGCCAACTACTGTTGAAATCACTTCAGCAGCCCAAACAACTACTGCTGAGATAATCACTACTGCAGGAGTGACTTCAAGTTCTGTGACCACCCCTGCTGCAGACACAACTGCTGATGTGACTTCGGCTGTGGAAAGCACAACTGTTAGTGCCACAAGCAAAGCTGAAGCTACAAGTACGGTTGTTCAGACCACAGTATCTGAAGTAACAACAACTTCTGGTGTGACCACTGATGCCAAGACCACTGCTGCAGAGCCAACTACAGTTGAAATCACTTCAGCAGCCCAAACAACTACTGCTAGGACAATCACTACTGAAGGAGTGACTTCAAGTTCTGTGGCCACTCCTGTTGCAGAGACCACAACTGCTGATGTGACGTCAGCTGTGGAGAGCACAACTGGTAGAGCCACAACCACAGCTGAAGCTGCAAGTACGGTTATTCAGACCACAATATCTGACGTAACTACAACTTCTGTTGTGACCACTGATGCTCAGACCACTGCTGCAGAGCCAACTACTGTTGACATCACTTCAGCTGCCCAAACAACAACTGCTGAGATAATCACTACTACAGGAGTGACTACAGAGTCTGTGTCCACCCCTGCTGCAGACACAACAACTGCTGGTGTGACATCAGCTGTGGAAAGCACAACTGGTAGAGCCACAAGCAAAGCTGAAGCTACAAGTACAGTTGTTCAGACCACAGTATCTGAAGTAACTACAACTTCTGGTGTGACCACTGATGCTGAGACCACTGCTGCAGAGCCAACTACTGTTGAAATCACTTCAGCAGCCCAAACAACTACTGCTGAGATATTCACTACTGCAGGAGTGACTACAGAGTCTGTGTCCACCCCTGCTGCAGACACAACAACTGCTGATTTCTCATCAGCTGTGGAAAGCACAACTGGTAGAGCCACAACCACAGCTGAAGCTGCAAGTACGGTTATTCAGACCACAATATCTGACGTAACTACAACTCCTGGTGTGACCACTGGTGCTGAGACCACTGCTGCAGAGCCAACTACTGTTGAAATCACTTCAGCACCCCAAACAACTACTGCTGGGATAATCACTACTGCAGGAGTGACTTCAAGTTCTGTGGCCACTCCTGTTGCAGAGACCACAACTGCTGATGTGACGTCAGCTGTGGAAAGCACAACTGGTAGAGCTACAACCACAGCTGAAGCTGCAAGTACGGCTTTTCAGACCACAATATCTGACGTAACTACAACTTCTGGTGTGACCACTGATGCTCAGACGACTGCTGCAGAGCCAACTACTGTTGAAATCACTTCAGCACCCCAAACAACTACTGCTGAGATATTCACTACTGCAGGAGTGACTACAGAGTCTGTGTCCACCCCTGCTGCAGACACAACAACTGCTGATTTCTCATCAGCTGTGGAAAGCACAACTGGTAGAGCCACAACCACAGCTGAAGCTGCAAGTACGGTTATTCAGACCACAATATCTGACGTAACTACAACTCCTGGTGTGACCACTGGTGCTGAGACCACTGCTGCAGAGCCAACTACTGTTGAAATCACTTCAGCACCCCGAACAACTACTGCTGAGATAATCACTACTGCAGGAGTGACTACAGAGTCTGTGGCCACCCCTGTTGCAGACACAACAACTGCTGATTTGACATCAGCTGTGGAAAGCACATCTGGTACAGCCACAACCACAGCTGAAGCTACAAGTACAGTTATTCAGACCACAATATCTGAAGTAACTACAACTTCTGGTGTGACCACTGATGCTGAGACCACTGCTGCAGAGCCAACTACTGTTGACATCACTTCAGCAGCCCAAACAACTACTGCTGAGATATTCACTACTGCAGGAGTGACTACAGAGTCTGTGTCCACCCCTGCTGCAGACACAACAACTACTGGTGTGACATCAGCTGTGGAAAGCACAACTGGTATTGCCACAACCACAGCTGAAGCTACAAGTACCGTTGTTCAGACCACAGTATCTGAAGTAACTACAACTCAAGCTGTGACCACTGGTGCTGATGTGACTTCGGCTGTTGAAAGCACAACTGTTAGTGCCACAAGCAAAGCTGAAGCTACAAGTACAGTTGTTCAGAGCACAGTATCTGAAGTAACTACAACTCCTGGTGTGACCACTGGTGCTGAGACCACTGCTGCAGAGCGAACTACCGTTGAAATCACTTCAGCAGCCCAAACAACTACTGCTGAGATATTCACTACTGCAGGAGTGACTACAGAGTCTGTGTCCACCCCTGCTGCTGACACAACAACTGCTGATGTGACATCAGCTGTGGAAAGCACAACTGGTAGAGCCACAACCACAGCTGAAGCTACAACTACAGTTGTTCAGACCACCGTATCTGAAGTATCTACAACTGAAGGTGTGACCACTGGTGCTGATGTGACTTTGGCTTTTGAAAGCACAACTGGTAGTGCCACAAGCAAAGCTGAAGCTACAAGTACAGTTGTTCAGACCACAGTATCTGAAGTAACAACAACTCCTGGTGTGACCACTGGTGCTGAGACCACTGCTGCAGAGCCAACTACTGTTGAAATCACTTCAGCACCCCAAACAACTACTGCTGGGATAATCACTACTGCAGGAGTGTCTTCAAGTTCTGTGGCCACTCCTGTTGCAGAGACCACAACTGCTGATGTGACGTCAGCTGTGGAAAGCACAACTGGTAGAGCTACAACCACAGCTGAAGCTGCAAGTACGGCTTTTCAGACCACAATATCTGACGTAACTACAACTTCTGGTGTGACCACTGATGCTCAGACGACTGCTGCAGAGCCAACTACTGTTGAAATCACTTCAGCACCCCAAACAACTACTGCTGAGATATTCACTACTGCAGGAGTGACTACAGAGTCTGTGTCCACCCCTGCTGCAGACACAACAACTGCTGATTTCTCATCAGCTGTGGAAAGCACAACTGGTAGAGCCACAACCACAGCTGAAGCTGCAAGTACGGTTATTCAGACCACAATATCTGACGTAACTACAACTCCTGGTGTGACCACTGGTGCTGAGACCACTGCTGCAGAGCCAACTACTGTTGAAATCACTTCAGCACCCCAAACAACTACTGCTGAGATAATCACTACTGCAGGAGTGACTACAGAGTCTGTGGCCACCCCTGTTGCAGACACAACAACTGCTGATTTGACATCAGCTGTGGAAAGCACATCTGGTAGAGCCACAACCACAGCTGAAGCTACAAGTACAGTTATTCAGACCACAATATCTGAAGTAACTACAACTTCTGGTGTGACCACTGATGCTCCGACCACTGCTGCAGAGCCAACTACTGTTGACATCACTTTAGCAGCCCAAACAACTACTGCTGAGATATTCACTACTGCAGGAGTGACTACAGAGTCTGTGTCCACCCCTGCTGCAGACACAACAACTGCTGGTGTGACATCAGCTGTGGAAAGCACAACTGGTATTGCCACAACCACAGCTGAAGCTACAAGTACCGTTGTTCAGACCACAGTATCTGAAGTAACTACAACTCAAGCTGTGACCACTGGTGCTGATGTGACTTCGGCTGTTGAAAGCACAACTGTTAGTGCCACAAGCAAAGCTGAAGCTACAAGTACAGTTGTTCAGACCACAGTATCTGAAGTAACTACAACTCCTGGTGTGATCACTGGTGCTGAGACCACTGCTGCAGAGCGAACTACCGTTGAAATCACTTCAGCAGCCCAAACAACTACTGCTGAGATATTCACTACTGCAGGAGTGACTACAGAGTCTGTGTCCACCCCTGCTGCAGACACAACAACTGCTGATGTGACATCAGCTGTGGAAAGCACAACTGGTAGAGCCACAACCACAGCTGAAGCTACAACTACAGTTGTTCAGACCACCGTATCTGAAGTAACTACAACTGAAGGTGTGACCACTGGTGCTGATGTGACTTCGGCTTTTGAAAGCACAACTGGTAGTGCCACAAGCAAAGCTGAAGCTACAAGTACAGTTGTTCAGACCACAGTATCTGAAGTAACAACAACTCCTGGTGTGACCACTGGTGCTGAGACCACTGCTGCAGAGCCAACTACTGTTGAAATCACTTCAGCACCCCAAACAACTACTGCTGGGATAATCACTACTGCAGGAGTGACTTCAAGTTCTGTGGCCACTCCTGTTGCAGAGACCACAACTGCTGATGTGACGTCAGCTGTGGAAAGCACAACTGGTAGAGCTACAACCACAGCTGAAGCTGCAAGTACGGCTTTTCAGACCACAATATCTGACGTAACTACAACTTCTGGTGTGACCACTGATGCTCAGACGACTGCTGCAGAGCCAACTACTGTTGAAATCACTTCAGCACCCCAAACAACTACTGCTGAGATATTCACTACTGCAGGAGTGACTACAGAGTCTGTGTCCACCCCTGCTGCAGACACAACTGCTGATGTCACTTCGGCTGTGGAAAGCACAACTGGTAGTGCCACAAGCACAGTTGAAGCTACAACGTTACCTGGTGAGACAACTGCAGCTGAGATAGCAACAACCTCTAGTCTCACCACTGATGTTGATATAACATCTGCTGTGGAAGCAAGTACAGTTGGAGTTTCTTTAACATCAGAGACAGCCACTGCAGAGATTCTCACAACAGCTGGTGTAAGTACAAATGCTGTGACCATATCTCTTCCTGAAACGACTGTTGCTGATATCACTACAACTGTAAAGAGTACAACTGCAGCTGAAGCTTTTTCCTTGGCTACCCAAACCACTCAAGCTGAGGTTTCTACAACTTCTGGTATCACCACTGGTGGTCAACCAACTGCCGAGATGACTATTTTCGATGACACGACAGCTATGGAAAGCACAACTAGTAGTGCCACAAGCAAAGCTGAAGCTACAAGTACAGTTGTTCAGACCACAGTATCTGGAGTAACTACCTCTCCTGGTGTTACCACTGGTGCTATCATCACATCTACCGAGACAAGTACTGTAGATTCAGAGACAGCTACATCAGCTGGTACATCAACAGTAGCCGAGACAAGTTCTGAGGATAAAGTTACTACAGTTGGTGCCTCAACTGTGATTGGGAGTACCATAACAGTACAGTCTACTGTTGAGGAAGGTACTATCACACCTCCTATAACAACTTCAGCAGGTGTAACTACTATTTCATCTTCGACAACAACTCCAGAAGTAGCAGTAACAGTAACAGCAGCAACTGATTCTGAGACAACTGCTTCAAATGAAACTACATCTGCCGTAACCACCGTTGCAGCCCAAAACATTACTACAGTAGAAACAACAACTATTGTGCCTGAAATAATCACTGAAGCTGCTATCACAACAGTTGACTTTAGTTCACCTTTGCAAAAAACTAGTAAGGCCATTACTGGAACGCAGGTTTCAAGAACAAATGCACCTGAAATTACCACTGGTATAGAGGCAACTACTTCAGGTTACACCATCTCTGGTACTCAGATTTCAACCATTGAAGTAGCCACAAAAGGATTGACTGAGACCACAGCTGCTTCTTTATTAACAACGACAGGTACAGATTTTTTTGCTAATATTAATATGTATTGAAGCAAGTGCAGTTGAATATGCCATAGTTACATAGGTGTGTTGTGTTTTTTATATACATCCTTACTTTTTGTTTAACTTTTTGATTGTTTTAAGAACACTGTTTAGTTTTTCAGAAACAACAAGACCAGCAATTCTTAGGTCACAAAACGTTTGTTTTATACCATTCATAAAATCCAAATCTTAACGCTACAAATGAGGCAAAACTCCATTTGTGCTCCTTATCCTGACACCATTAATGAAGCACAAGAAAAGTAACAGGTGTAACAGTGACACACACACACTGTGGCTTTTTAATTTGTACTTGCTCATTTGTATGTAAAGATTTTACACAATCTATTCATTTATTCATCTTGAATCATTTCATCGTATGCATGCTCTGTGTTTCTGTGTTATATTTGTTTATGTTTGTGTTTTTCATTTATATTCATTTTCAAATTCATGTACAGATTGATACTTTGCATGTCTTTTAGAAGTTGAGTTTTTTTTCTACTTTCGTGGGTATCTGCAGAAATAAACATTTGAACTTTTATATATACTATCTTCATTTTACCCAGGTTACTTTAGCATAGTAAGGATTAGTTTACAGGATTACTTTACAGAATTGTTTAATTCTGCAGATACAATGAAGCAAATCAGGTATCAAGTATACTTAAAACCAAAACCTATATACAGTGGGTGAATTTGAAAATGAAACATTAGAATTTTCATTATTGTCTATACTGCTCATTTCCATGAACTTACATGTTGACATTCACTTCCTTTGTATTGTGCTCCTAACTGAACCCATTATTTGTACCTTTACTGCCCAAACCAACTTGCCTATTACTCCATATTCCATCAAAAACTACTTCCTCATGGTTTATCAATTCATCCGGGAATTAATATTATGTAATAAAATGTATTACTAAGGGAATAAATATGTGCTTGGCCGATTTTAAACGAATACATTTAAAACAGGCTTGGGGCCTGGACGAAGAAGGCGAGGGACATTATCATTGACCAGGCCCCAAGCCGGTTTTAAATGTACTCGTTTACTGACCAAGCACATAGTTATTCCCATTCGTAAATACCTTCCGGTTAAAAAGTAAAAACAGGTCAAAAATTATAAATTTCCAACGAATTTGTTCAACAAGTTTACTTCATACTGTTTAAACACCCTTCTAGCTACGTTTATACGAAGATTGGCGTGTGCATGGCACATTAATGCGCGATGTGGCGCAGAATGCGGCGGTGCTCAAGTAGTGTGAGTTTAGGACTGAAATATGGACTCTTCGGGAGTATTGCACATGCCTAAGTGAGAACTGTGAACATTCAACCAATAGGACCATCCAACCATAGGAGTCCAAAATGTTAAAAGGTACTAGATTTCATAGGAGTCATATTTCATGTGACACCGGAACATTGTTTAAAACCATCCAGTCTGTGTTTTATCAACTGTTTAAATCCACCCATGTGATGGGCTTTTGACCAGTGGGAATGGGTTACCTGTCTCAGGTATTCATGAATAATTAACACTGTTGTAGATGCTTGTGGATTAATATCTTTTCATCTGTTTGGTTGCATTTTTTCAACTGTGAGGTTTAATATTTAGTTATTTTCCTCTCATCAAACGATATGACTATTAAAGAACTGCTTTATAATCAAATGCTATGTGAATGTGTTCAATTAAGCTTAATATCAGCATCTGGCTTAATATTGCCATCATGATGGTTGAAGCTGTTGAAACACCCATTTCAAGTTGTTGATATTTCTGACTGCTTGGGACATGAAAGTCTAATTGTGAGGCCTTTTTCATTTTCTAACATTTATAATTGTGTGTATCTGCATTTCTTTCATCTTTGGTTGGGAATGTGTTTTAATCAAGTTGTTGGCTGATTAATCTGTAACATTCTATTCTGAACCCCTTGTGTGATACAGACCCACTTCACTAACTCATACATCCAAGATGTTACATTACTCCCTGATTTCCAGTTTGCCTTGGTCATATCCATGGTGACTCACATCCGTGTTGTACTTAAGGGGGCAAAAAGGCCTTCACTGTGTCAGAGTTGACCTATAGTGGTAGAATCATGTCAACGCTGCTTGTGAAATATTGTCCAATTTCATGATATACGAATGGAGGCGGAACACGCAAAATCTTAGACAAACAAAACTTAGTGTGCAAAAACTCCATAAGGTTGTCTAAGGGGGCATGGCTAACTCGCAAACGGCTATAGGTCAATTACACAGAGAATTTCAAATGTGTTTGCTTCATATTATGTCTTCATCTCAAAAACAGAAAAAAAATAGAAGGAACCCCTCTTGTTTTTGCTGGTCACAGGGGGCCAGTCAATATATTTAGTCTTTGTACCTGACTGACTCACTCCCCTATGGAATGTCTAATTGAATGTCTCACTGACTGACTCATACTTAATAATTGCACTTGTTCAAGTCTCCAACTGACTTACTGTTGTTGTGAATGCGACTGTTCACCTATCTCACTGACTGACTCTCACTTGTGAATTAGACTGTTTACCTATTTCACTAACTGACGTGTGTTACTTGATAGTTAGACTTGTTACCTATCTCACTGACTGACTGACTGTCAGTTCTGAATTAGACTGGTTACCTCTTTCCAACACATAGACCTCTACTGTTTATTGTACGAACATTTTAGCAATTCTAGATCAGTTGAATAGGGTTTTGTGCCCTCTGTGACCAGCTTTACAAGGCCTGTCTTGTCTAGTTTGAATCATATTCAAACAAGCTATTGAAACTTAAAAAAACAGACATGGCAAAGTATACCATGGTTACAAAGCAAATCACATTTTGATATTTGTGTATTTCCCTTCCTAACTAAACTCTGCTTTTGTGTGTTCTTGCTGTTCCACATGATTTTCTTTTGTTTGACTTTAAGTCAAATATGGCATATGTTTACAAGAGCAGAAAGTTCTTTCACTTAACGTCTTCTAAATACTAGTTTTGCAATTACTGAGTTGAATTTACTTGCAACTGATCTACATATACTTCATACCCAATGTGCAATGCTTCCCAGTTTGAGAGATGCATTGTACAATGCTTAGTGATCGAAGTACATTGCAACTGAATTTGATGCAGCAAATTTTTGTGGTTTTATTGAATATTTATTCTAGAGATTAAAATTTCTGTAGCCATTAATACTTTGAATCACAATCAACTCTGAGTATGCATTGTTGGCTGCTGTCCTGAAGACAGAGAAAGTCATTCTTCCTGCAGCGAACATTTCAAATATCACTTTTATTTTTGTGCCATTTAAATATTTATATAGTAATGGATGGCTTTGAGGGGGATTCAAGAATATATTGCACCAGCTGTAACAATATTGCCTGAGTGGAAGACAAGTACAATATTGTCATAGCAAGTGCAATATATTCTTGTGTCCTCCGAAAATATAAAGCCATGCAATATTATTATTATTTATATCGGGCTGACCTGTTTTCGCAAAAAATACATTTCAGTATACTGTCTTCATTTCCCCTGTTTCGTCGAATTGTTTTTCACTTACCGAAACAACTTTCATGGCATGAAGCTGCCATTGCGGTTGTTGACAACAGTGTGCGTGTAACCTGGTGCTTGCTGCGGGCGCATCCATGTGCGATGGTACTGCGCGACGCTCGGTTGACTGGTTGTCAACTGAGTTTCTCTGCTCTTGATCTTTCAAGAACCAGCGAAAATGCCCGGATTAGGGCAATATCAAAAGTAACATTGTCTTCATACGGGTACTTTTACTGACATAATATTGCTATCATCCAGGTCCTTTTTTTCTGATAGCAAACAATGCGCTGATTTATTTTTACCGCTGGAAAGCCTGATATAAATAGTAATGTTTAATATTCATTCTCCATGCTCTTGTTTATTTTCTTCCAAGAATGTTACAATAACTTTAATTTGTTACGTACCATGCATTTATCTTGTTTCATTTCATGTGTTTGTTTTAATATTCATGCGTAAAATAGCTATTTTTGACAGTTATTGATGTCTTTTCATATTCTCCATTAATCAATATGTAGTTTGAGTGAATTTGAGATGCTATCCATTTGTTTTATTTGTCCTGTACATAATTATGTTTGCCTCTTTAATTACTCAAAATACAGGATGAGTAAAACAAAAGGGGAACCCAAACCTTAAGAAATCTATTTCATATTTTACAAAAAATTTGTAGCACCAAAAATAAATACGAATGGTAAGTCAATTAAATAATCTTGTTTTAGATGAAAAACTCACTCTAATTGCTCAATTCGTTCAAATTATATCACCATTTAAATGAAATGACCCTAAAATCTGTTTTTGTCCAAAAATTCAATTTCAAGAATTGTCGTTACAATTGTCGGCAAGCATCAGGAGCGATAAAATCCTTAGTTTAAAAGTTTAAAATATTCTACGAAGTCCTTTTGAAGGCCTGTGGATTTTACAAATCACGTTGTTAGCCAAAGCAGGGCTGTTAATAAAGATATAATGTAATACAGTTATAACTATTTTTGAAACAAGTATTCTGTGACATTTTCATTGTTGTTCCAAACAGTTAGAACACACAATAAATTGCTGTTTTTGGACAAACTGATTTTAGGGGCATTTCATTTAAATGGTGATATAATTTGAACAGCTTGAAGTTGAAGTATTTTTTTCATCTTAAAGTAGTTTATGAAATTGACTTACCATTCATAATTATTTTTGATGCTACATTTTTTTTAAAATATGAAATATACATCTTTGGGTTTGGGTTAAATTTTTTGACTTGCCCTGTAAGATCACGCCTCATATTAATAATAATATGTGTATATAATATCATATATAAGAAAAATATGTTAAATTACTATAATATGTATGCATTTTGCCATCTCATTTTTCTTTCTTTGGCCATATTTATATTTTCATTTTCATTCCAGATTTACATTTTGTATTTAAACATAAATATTCAGAAATTCTTGCCTTGAATTTTGTCATTTATTAAGGCAACATTTCTTTAATTTTCATATGTCTTTAGCAAAATCATTTTCCATTATTGTCATTTAATAATTCATGCTTGATTTCACATTTCATTTGAATATCTCCCATAAACCCCTAGATACATACATTTTAATTGACTCAAATCAGCCAAATTGAAAGATTGTGCATTCCAACATAAAATGTGACATATAATGCATCTATTCTGAATCTACATTCACATGTGCATCACTATTAAGCACAATTAGGTGTCTGAATTTGGCTGATTTGTGACGGTTACCATATTGTCTTTCTCATTCATATTTTTTTTTTATATCGGTCTACTTTATAGTGGGTCCACATAAATATTTCTTGTAATTGTCCTCAACACTTTTCTATAATATGAAGGACTTGGTGAGCTGAGTAACAAAATTAAAACTTAAAAAAATCTATGGCCCGTTGCCATAGTAATTTTAGCAAGTTTTTGGGACTCAAAATCTATTTTTAGCTTATTTTAAAAATCGGCCAGCCAAAATGCAAAGTTATATCACACAATCAACTATATCGTTACAAAGTATAATCCTTGCCCTTATTTGAAAAAAATATAATGTTTAAATGTCACCCTTATGCTTTTTTTGCACTTGCAAAATTGTTATTTGTACCCTAGATTTGTCCCTCAAAAAGTCAACTTGCCAGCGGTCTCAGAATATTTTCCTTTTGGATTTAATTAGAGTCAACATTAGTCTTTCCATATCTGGAAAGTTTTGGGGGATTTTATCCTATTAGGCAGTACTTCATCAAAAATTGTCATTTTCCAAAAAAAAAGGAAAAACAGGAAAAGTGAAATTTGAGGTGTTCCTTCCGTTTGAAGTAATAATACACCAAAAATAATACTTTTATGATTCTGGCACCTTTTTCAAATCATAAGAGTGAGTTGTAGTCCTGTGAATAACTCCTACAGAATAAGCAGCATTTTTGGCAGCAAAATATAACTTTTAACCTCCCCCCCCAGCATTTTTAACATTCCATTTTCTGATAATATTTTGTTTAGTGGCATGAAAACAGATGAATTTCAGCTTTTTGGCCCAAATTTAGTATGCGAATAGTTATGGTGCTGAATTATGCTGTGTGGACCCCAACCACATATGTCAAAATCATTTCCATAATCCATACTTAGATTTTGGAAATGACAAATAAATATGAGATATGTTTAGAATGCAGGCTGCATCAGGTGTTAAACCCAGTTTTCAACTTTTTGTCCCTAATTTACAGTGCGGAAAGATATTTTGCTGAAATATGCAGTGTAATGTAAAATGGCCTGTTACTGTGGCATCGACCAAAGAAAAAAAGATTAAGTTCTATTTTGGTTACATGCTCACCAGGTCCTTTCATATTAAAAAAAATACCGAGGACACTTGTATGAAATATTTACGTGGACCCATTCTTAATTGTGTATAAGTTATTATTACAGTGCAAGTATTAATGTACAGAGCAACTGTTTATAAAAAAAAGAGTAGGTAATCACAAATTTTAAGTATTCAAAACGAGCCAAATTCTTAAACAACCTAAAATAATTCGGGGAATTGGTGGGAGGGGAGTAACTGTTATGCTAAAACAAATATGTGACTGTGAACGTTTAGCGTTGAGTGGCATTAAACTGTTGAAAGATTCAGACAGTGAAATCCAATCATAAGATAGCTGACATTTTTTTGACTAATTGCATTCTTTGGTACTGCCAGGTTTTAAACATAAATCATTAGAAAAACTACATACAAAGGAAGAATATTTTTTTCTGTTTCTGTTCATGTCGATAAAGTGCCACCACCAGCAACTTACACCAGAAAAAAATTAAAGACCAGCATGGATTCAAACATGTAGGGAAGTGTGGAGATAGGAATACTCAATTATAGCAACACAATCATTTTGATGCAGGCACAGTTAACAAAAAATATAAGACCATATCAATGTCTCAGTGTGTAAAAGCTTTTGTCAGACTCACACAGACAAACTTACCTGAACTGAACGTCATGCGCAAGATTGTCAAGTTAAAAACAGCTCAGAACTGCAGTCTTTTGGGGGTTCAAAATAGTATGCATGCAGGTATGTATAAATCGTCCAAATGATTAATGTCATTTTCTCATATTTATCTACATTATTGAGCAATGATATTCCTCGTTAACATTCATGATTCATTTGCCATTGTAACTCATCGAATCGATTCAACTTTCAAATGATGGCTCAAAATAGTTCATAGTAAACCATTTTATCAGTTACATTCCAATCATTACTAATTAACTAAACTAAGAAAATCAATTTGGTTCATAATCTTCTGTCATAATTGTAATAATTTTGTTAAAGTACAAGGTGTCAAAAGCTGAAATTATTGTTACATTTATTTATACTTTTCAACAGCTCCCCAGACAAAAGCTGATCAAACCACAAGCGCTGAGGCAACTACTATGACTGAAAGCACCACTGTTGCTGAGACAACTATTGCAGATGTAACGACTACTGAAGTGCAAAAAACCACCGTGGAGGTAACCACTGTCAGCGAAGTAACTGCTCTGCCCGAGTCCACAACTCCAGCACAGACAACATTAGATGCTGACACTACAGCTGTTGCTGTGACAACAATGACAAAGGGAACTACCACGCCAGGCCAGACTAGCAGTGGTGAGTTTACCACAACAACAGGATTGACATCTGTTTCTGAGAGTACAACTTCAGAACAGACAACAGCGGTTGCTGATATGACTAGTGCTGAAACAACTGTTGTTGTCACTACACTTGTCGCAACAACCTCTCTTGAAAAATCAGTGACTACGTCTGCTGAAACTACTTTTGCTGAAAGTATCACTACAGAGCAGGGGGCAACAACAGCTGCACAGACATCAGCTGTTATTAGCACAACTGTGGGAATAACCTCTGACATTGAGACTACTTTGCCAGAAAGAAGTACAGAAGCTGTAACTCAAATAACATCGGAGACAACAATTCCAGAAATAGCCTCAACCTATAGAGCTACAACTGTGGCTGAAACTACAATTGTAGCAGAGACAACCACTCCAGTTGTGACTACACTTGTGGAAACTACTATTGCTGGAGATACGACCACAGAGCAGGGAATAACCACAGCTGCGCAGACATCAGCTGGTGTGAGCACATCTCTTGGAATAACCACTGGTACTGAGACTACTGTTGCAGAGAGCAGTACAGATGCTTTATCCACCAGAACATCCCAGACAACTCCAGAGGTAGCCACAACCGGCACAAGTACCACTGTGGCTGATACTACTGTTGATGTCGAGACTACAACAACCTCTCTTCAAAAATCAGTGACTACATCTGCTGAAACTACTTTTGCTGAAAGTAGCACGACAGATCAGGGAACAACTGCAGCTGCACAGACATCAGTTGGTATTAGCACAACTGTGGGAATACCCTCTGGCATTGAGACTACTTTGCCAGAAAGAAGTACAACAGCTGTAACTCAAATAACATCAGAGACAACAATTCCAGAAATAGCCTCAACTTATAGAGCTACAACTGTGGCTGAAACTACAATTGTAGCAGAGACAACCACTCCAGTTGTGACTACACCTGTGGAAACTACTGTTGCTGTAGGTACGACCACAGAGCAGGGAATTACCACAGCTGCACAGACATCAGCTGGTGCGAGCACATCCCTTGGAATAACCACTGATACTGAGACTACTGTTGCAGAGAGCAGTACAGAAGCTTTATCCACCAGAACATCCCTGACAACTCCAGAGGTAGCCACAACCGGCAGAAGTACCACTGGGGTTGATACTACTGTTGATGTCGAGACTACTACACAAGGTGTGGCTACATCTGTAGAAACAACTGTCTCTGAAGGTATCACAACCGATGAGGTAACAACTACAGCTCCTCAGACATCAGCTGCTATCAGCACATCTACCAAGACAGCTGATGCGGGTGCTGAGACAACTGCAGCAGCTGGTACATCAACAGCGGCCGAGACAACTTCTGAGGATAAAGTCACCACAGTCAGTGCCTCAACAGTGACTGGTACCACAATTGCAGCAGAGACAACTACACAAACCTCTTCATCTGCACGCACTACAGTTGATGAAGGGACTACAATAGGTCCTGCAACAACTACAGCTGCTCAAACATCTGCTGATATTGGCACAACTTCTGGATTAACCACTGAAGTGGAGACAACTGTTCGAGACAGAACCACAGAAGCTGTCACAACCGTGATCTCCCAAACAACTACTGCTGAGATAATCACTACTGCAGGAGTGACTACAAGTTCTGTGGCCACCCCTGTTGCAGGCACAACAACTGCTGATGTGACATCAGCTGTGGAAAACACAACTGGTAGAGCCACAACCACAGCTGAAGCCACCAGTACAGTTGTTCAGACCACAGTATCTGAAGTAACTACAACTTCTGGTTTGACCACTGATGCTCAGACCACTGCTGCAGAGCCAACTACTGTTGAAATCACTTCAGCACCCCAAACAACTAATGCTGAGATAATCACTACTGCAGGAGTGACTACAGAGTCTGTGACCACCCCTGTTGCTGACACAACAACTGCTGATGTGACATCAGCTGTGGAAAGCACAACTGGTAGAGCCACAACCACAGCTGAAGCTACAAGTACAGTTATTCAGACCACAATATCTGAAGTAACTACAACTTCTGGTGTGACCACTGGTGCTGAGACGACTGCTGCAGAGCCAACTACTGTTGAAATCACTTCAGCAGCCCAAACAACTACTGCTGAGATAATCACTACTGCAGGAGTGACTACAGAGTCTGTGACCACCCCTGCTGCTGACACAACAACTGCTGATGTGACATCAGCTGTGGAAAGCACAACTGGTAGAGCCACAACCACAGCTGAAGCTACAAGTACAGTTGTTCAGACCACAGTATCTGAAGTAACAACAACTCCTGGTGTGACCACTGGTGCTGAGACCACTGCTGCAGAGCCAACTACTGTTGAAATCACTTCAGCAGCCCCAACAACTACTGCTGAGATAATCACTACTGCGGGAGTGACTACAGAGTCTGTGTCCACCCCTGTTGCTGACACAACAACTGCTGATGTGACATCAGCTGTGGAAAGCACAACTGGTAGAGCCACAACCACAGCTGAAGCTACAAGTACAGTTATTCAGACCACAGTAGCTGAAGTAACTACAACTTCTGGTGTGACCACTGGTGCTGAGACCACTGCTGCAGAGCCAACTACTGTTGAGATCACTTCAGCAGCCAAAACAACTACTGCTGAGATAATCACCACTGCAGGAGTTACTACAGAGTCTGTGGCCACACCTGTTTCAGACATAACAACTGCTGATGTGACATCAGCTCTGGAAATCACAACTGGTAGTGCCACAACCTCAGCTGAAGCTACAAGTACAGTTTTTCAGACCACAGTATCTGAAGTAACTACAACTCCTGGTGTGACCACTGGTGCTGAGACCACTGCTGCAGAGCCAACTACTGTTGAAATCACTTCAGCAGCCCAAACAACTACTGCTGAGATAATCACTACTGCAGGAGTGACTACAGAGTCTGTGGCCACCCCTGTTGCAGACACAACAACTGCTGATTTGACATCAGCTGTGGAAAGCACATCTGGTAGAGCCACAACCACAGCTGAAGGTACAAGTACAGTTGTTCAGACCACAATATCTGAAGTAACTACAACTTCTGGTGTGACCACTGATGCTCAGACCACTGCTGGAGAGCCAACTACTGTTGAATTCACTTCAGCAGCCCAAACAACAACTGCTGCTGAGATAATCACTACTGCAGGAGTGACTACAGAGTCTGTGGCCACTCCTGTTTCAGACACAACAACTGCTGATTTGACATCAGCTGTGGAAAGCACATCTGGTAGAGCCACAACCACAGCTGAATCTACAAGTACAGTTATTCAGACCACAGTATCTGAAGTAACTACAACTCCTGGTGTGACCACTGGTGCTGAGACCACTGCTGCAGAGCCAACTACTGTTGAAATCACTTCAGCAGCCCAAACAACTACTGCTGAGATAATCACTACTGCAGGAGTGACTACAAAGTCTGTGGCCACCCCTGTTGCAGACACAACAACTGCTGATGTGACTTCGGCTGTTGAAAGCACAACTGATAGAGCCACAACCACAGTTGAAGCTACAAGTACAGTTATTCAGACCACAATATCTGAAATAACTACAACTTCTGGTGTGACCACTGGTGCTGAGACGACTGTTGCAGAGCCAACTACTGTTGAAAACACTTCAACAGCCAAAACAACTACTGCTGAGATAATCACTACTGCAGGAGTGACTACAGAGTCTGTGTCCACCCCTGTTGCAGACACAACTGCTGATGTGACTTCGGCTGTTGAAAGCACAACTGGTAGAGCTACAACCACAGCTGAAGCTACAAGTACAGTTGTTCAGACCACAGTATCTGAAGTAACAACAACTCCTGGTGTGACCACTGGTGCTGAGACCACTGCTGCAGAGCCAACTACTGTTGAAATCACTTCAGCAGCCCCAACAACTACTGCTGAGATAATCACTACTGCAGGAGTGACTACAGAGTCTGTGTCCACCCCTGTTGCTGACACAACAACTGCTGATGTGACATCAGCTGTGGAAAGCACAACTGGTAGAGCCACAACCACAGCTGAAGCTACAAGTACAATTATTCAGACCACAGTAGCTGAAGTAACTACAACTTCTGGTGTGACCACTGATGCTCAGACCACTGCTGCAGAGCCAACTACTGTTGAAATCACTTCAGCAGCCCAAACAACTACTGCTGAGATAATCACTACTGCAGGAGTGACTACTGAGTCTGTGTCCACCCCTGTTGCTAGCACAACAACTGCTGATGTGACATCAGCTGTGGAAAGCACAACTGGTAGAGCCACAACCATAGCTGAAGCTACAAGTACAGTTATTCAGACCACAGTAGCTGAAGTTACAACAACTTCTGGTGTGACCACTGGTGCTGAGACCACTGCTGCAGAGCCAACTACTGTTGAGATCACTTCAGCAGCCAAAACAACTACTGCTGAGATAATCACTACTGCAGGAGTGACTACAGAGTCTGTGGCCACCCCTGTTGCAGACACAACAACTGCTGATGTGACATCAGCTGTGGAAAGCACATCTGGTAGAGCTACAACCACAGCTGAAGGTACAAGTACAGTTGTTCAGACCACAATATCTGAAGTAACTACAACTTCTGGTGTGACCACTGATGCTCAGACCACTGCTGCAGAGCCAACTACTGTTGAAATCACTTCAGCAGCCCAAACAACTACTGCTGAGATAATCACTACTGCAGGAGTGACTACTGAGTCTGTGTCCACCCCTGTTGCTGACACAACAACTGCTGATGTGACATCAGCTGTGGAAAGCACAACTGGTAGAGCCACAACCACAGCTGAAGCTACAAGTACAGTTATTCAGACCACAGTAGCTGAAGTAACTACAACTTCTGGTGTGACCACTGGTGCTCAGACCACTGCTGCAGAGCCAACTACTGTTGAAATCACTTCAGCAGCCCAAACAACTACTGCTGAGATAATCACTACTGCAGGAGTGACTACAGAGTCTGTGGCCACCCCTATTGCAGACACAACAACTGCTGATGTAACTTCGGCTGTTGAAAGCACAACTGGTAGAGCCACAACCACAGCTGAAGCTGCAAGTACAGTTATTCAGACCACAGTAGCTGAAGTAACTACAACTTCTGGTGTGACCACTGGTGCTGAGACCACTGCTGCAGAGCCAACTACTGTTGAAATCACTTCAGCAGCCCAAACAACTACTGCTGAGATAATCACTACTGCAGGAGTGACTACAGAGTCTGTGTCCACCCCTGTTGCTAACACAACAACTGCTGATGTGACATCAGCTGTGGAAAGCACAACTGGTAGAGCCACAACCACAGCTGAAGCTACAAGTACAGTTATTCAGACCACAGTAGCTGAAGTAACTACAACTTCTGGTGTGACCACTGGTGCTGAGACCACTGATGCAGAGCCAACTACTGTTGAGATCACTTCAGCAGCCCAAACAACTACTGCTGAGATAATCACCACTGCAGGAGTTACTACAGAGTCTGTGGCCACACCTGTTTCAGACATAACAACTGCTGATGTGACATCAGCTGTGGAAATCACAACTGGTAGTGCCACAACCTCAGCTGAAGCTACAAGTACAGTTTTTCAGACCACAGTATCTGAAGTAACTACAACTCCTGGTGTGACCACTGATGCTCAGACCACTGCTGGAGAGCCAACTACTGTTGAATTCACTTCAGCAGCCGAAACAAGAACTGCTGCTGAGATAATCACTACTGCAGGAGTGACTACAGAGTCTGTGGCCACCCCTGTTGCAGACACAACAACTGCTGATTTGACATCAGCTGTGGAAAGCACATCTGGTAGAGCCACAACCACAGCTGAAGCTACAAGTACAGTTATTCAGACCACAGTATCTGAAGTAACTACAACTCCTGGTGTGACCACTGGTGCTGAGACCACTGCTGCAGAGCCAACTACTGTTGAAATCACTTCAGCAGCCCAAACAACTACTGCTGAGATAATCACTACTGCAGGAGTGACTACAAAGTCTGTGGCCACCCCTGTTGCAGACACAACAACTGCTTATGTGACTTCGGCTGTTGAAAGCACAACTGATAGAGCCACAACCACAGTTGAAGCTACAAGTACAGTTATTCAGACCACAATATCTGAAATAACTACAACTTCTGGTGTGAACACTGGTGCTGAGACGACTGCTGCAGAGCCAACTACTGTTGAAATCACTTCAACAGCCAAAACAACTACTGCTGAGATAATCACTACTGCAGGAGTGACTACAGAGTCTGTGTCCACCCCTGTTGCAGACACAACTGCTGATGTGACTTCGGCTGTTGAAAGTACAACTGGTAGAGCCACAACCACAGCTGAAGCT